ACAGATGGGATACTACTCAGAGGCACATCTATTTTGAAAAGAAAAAACAACTCCTGGGTGATTCTTTAGGACTAGGGTGCCCTGGTTAGGAATTACTTTGTGCCTCTGATGTCTAGAACCCACTTGCTATTAATGTTCTCTTCATTTTCTTGCTCTGGGGTTTTCTTATCCATTTGACTGTTGTCCTGTCATTTGGATGGCACAAATGGTTTCACTTGGCAATGAACCAAAAAGTTGTCAGTCTGGACCCACCCAGTGGCACTGTGGAAGAAAGACCTGGTGATCTGTTTCTGTTACGATTACAGCCAAGAATTCCTCACAGCAAGGATCATTTCCAGCCCCCCCATACACAGAGTAGACAGCATGGGCAACTTGGACATTGGCTACCCAAAATGGAGGGGCTACAAAGGAAAGAAGTGACTGGCTTACAAGCTTTCAAGAGGGAACCTAGATCCAGAGGGTGTGAAGGAAGATAGAATCTCCACTGAGTAGTATCCAATCTGTCTAGGCGGGGCTGATGAAATGAAATACAGATGGGTCTCGTGATACAATAGTGAATAATTGTTATCAGGTCTGACTGTGAGGGTTGGAAATGTAAAGGTAGACGTTTTGAAGCAAAGAGGGGAGTGATTAACTTTGCAGTCAGGAGCAGAGGTCCCTGGGACCATCAATGGAGAAGACCAGAGAGCGGGACCCTACCCAGAGAAGCAGTGATGCCTGAGATGGAGGCAGAGACAATGACATGGAGAGGTGGAGTCACTGGGGACTTTAGACACAGAGAGGGAGAGGGGCTGTGTGCTGACGATGGGGGGGAGGGGAGGCAGGATTGTAGGTTATACCCTTTGGTTGGTTGATAATGCATAGAGGGGATTGTAACCATGGCAATGAAACGATATACGATAGGATGAATGTAAAACTAATGTTCTCCCTTGTAAACTACCACATAATTCACAATAAAACATTAAAAAAAAAAAGAAAAAGATTACAGCCAAGAAAACCCTACTCTGTATCACGTGAGGTCACCCATAATTGGAATTGACTCAATGCTAGTGAGTTTTGATTTTTTTGGTTTTTTAATGGCTTGAGAGAGAAATCTCTAGAGACAGCCACATAGGTGTAGGGCCCAGTGGTTCCAAGCCCTACACCTTTTCATTTGCCTCTGTCATATATGTATGGTCCAAGTGAGTACCCCTCTTGGTATTACTAGATGGCATCAATAGGATTGTCCAAAACCCTGCCCATTAGGGAAACATGACTGTCTCTGCATGTGAACTAATAAAGTTCACACAGAAAGGGTGAGATGTGAGTGTACAACTGGGGAGCACTGGGTTACACCCAGCTTTCCCTCACTGTGACCCAGTGGAATTTCAGGACCGGATTGTGCCCTGTAGGATCATAGACCATGCTTCATCTGTCCTCTCTCTCTCCTAGGCTCTGGAAGAAGATCTGAACCAGAAGAAAAGGGAACAGGAGATGTTCTTCAAATTGAGTGAGGAAGCAGAGTGTCTGAGCCCTCCCACCCCAAGCAAGGCCACCAAGTTCTTCCCTTACAGCTCTGCGGATGCTTCTTAAGGACCACCTGGGATGGTGGCCGACAGATGGCTGGGCCTCTGGGACCCTCCCATTCTCTGTGAACAAGTAACTCAGGACCCACCTTCCTCTTGCTTCTGTGCCAGCTCAAATCCAGCCTCTTGTCCTGTGGTGCCCAGCTGTGCCCAACAGACCTGCCCCAGTGTCCCTCATGTTCATATGCTCATGAAGGGGGACGTCTCATTCTATGAGGCCTGACCCCAGTGCCTGTTGTTGGGTTCAGGAGGAGTGGGTGTTTTGTGGCCTCAAGGCCCCTCCTGTTTGCCAAAACCCCTGATTCACTGAAGTCATCATGGCTCAACCATGTTTTAATCCTAGCTGGTTTTCAGCCTTAAGCTGCAGAGTGTCAGACAAGACTCTTGGCCTCCAGCAACCATTTCAGTTCCTGCAGCCAGCTGCTTGGATTTTCCCTCATCCCTCCAGTTCCCCTGGTTTGCTTTCCACTTGAGCAGAAACCATGTCTGCAGCCAGGGCAGGAGAATGAGGCCCAAGATGTTTGCTCTGCTTATCTCAGGCATCTTGTGTCCCCCACTAAATGCACACACACACACAACTTGGCCCCTGGCACGAACCAGCCCTGCCTCCATCCTGGGCCTCTTATGTGCAGATGGTTGGGAAATGTTTGCTGCCTGAGCCTGTGCTACTGACTGTATTGGGTGGAGCAGTTGGTATGGAGGGTGGTGGGCACCAGAGGAGGCGCCAGCTGCACTCATTTATGTTCCCACCCGATCCTCTATTCAGGGATAAATTCCACACCATGAGAGACGTTTGCAGTACAGCTAGCTGCTGGCTCACACTTGCCCACCTGTCTACAGGGGATTCAGGAAAGCTGTTTCCCTTTGCCCTGTGCCCCTCCTTACAGCCTTACATTTCAGACTGAGACTGGCCATTACTTGAATTTCTTTTCAGGGAAAAGAAAAAAAAGCATCAGAGAAAAGCTTCATGCTCCATTCCCCCAGGAACGTAAGTGGCAGAAGTAAAGGTTCTGTATCTCAGGTGGAATCCTGGGTCTTCAGAGCACTCAGTTAGCCCCGACAGATTCTGATCTGCCACCCAATAAAAGGAACTGCTCAAACCAGAATTTGGTTTACTTAACAAAGAAAACCTTTTTCCACTTTGGTTTCTAATTGTCCATTGAACCAAATCTATAAAATGGATGGCTTTTTTCAGGAAGATACCTGCTTTAAAACAACACATATGAAAGTGATGATCATCTTGAGTTCGGGTGCTATTTTGTTGGTGATAGAGTGATTGAAACACCCCAAGAGGACTGTCTCCTCCATTCCTAAACATTAAGGGCAATTCTTTCTAAAGCAATTCTCAGGAAGTTTTCTCAGCACTGGTTGTAACTGGATCCTTGAGAAGCAAGGAAAAGGCAGTTTGGGGGTTTGGGGCTCCTAAGTCTTCAATAAGCAATACCAATGCTCTCAGGAGCCATGGTGTGATGTTGTAGGATAAGCACTCGACCATAAAGTGGGTTTGAGCCACAAGGTCAGTGGTTCAAACTCACCAGCCACTCCTAGGAAACCCTATACAGGCCCGCTATGAGTCAGGACTGACTCGATGGCACTTAACAAGAGCAATGCCCTCAGGAGTACAGGGGAGGAGAGTGGGTCTCCCAGATTAATGAGCTTAACCTGCTTCAGTATTTGATCCCAATGGGACATTTCTCAAGTCTCACACAAATGGGACAAGTTAAACAACAGCCCTCTTTTGTTCTCTTTGGTGCACAGATGCTGGAAAAGCATGACCCAGTAGCAGTGTAACTACAGAGCCTAAACCAGTTCCACCAAGCAGTGCTGATCTGGGCCTTGTCTCCAATATTTCCTTTCGCAGTCTTGTGTGGAATAGCAGGTGGAATAGCAGCAGGTTTGTGGGGCAGGCAAGTCAGTCATCACTCCTTCCTGTCTTTAACTTGTCATTCCCACAAAATCCCCTTTCAGGAGTTGCCCCTTCCCTGCTCAGGGCCCAAGGCCCTAATAGCTCCCTCCCCTGAGCTTTCTGGATGGGGTCTACTCTGCTGCCCGCACCTCACCACTGAGCCAATGTGCAATGCCCCCCTGCTGCGAAGGCCCACGCAGTATTCCTCGTGCCCAGTGCTAACGTTTTCTCTGTAAGGGACAGGCAGAACTGGGACTCATTTATGGTCCATTTTTAGCAGAGTAAATATAACTAACTTATATTTTCCCTTTATGAAGGACAGAAGTTATTTTTATGTAGTTTCCAAACTTTGTAAAATGTGCTCCACACAAAGTTAACTGCAAGAATGTATATATGCTTCTAATAAAATAACAAGGCTAGAACATTTTTTGTTTTGCATTTCCGGGTGTTCTTTGGGTAGTTGGAGTGGGAAATGCTGAGCAGGTGGATCCACACTTGCCTAGTAAGAAACTGTTGGCTATCTTCTAAGGACACTTCTGTCTCCCTCCCAGGTCATAGAGCAGGGCAGTGCCTGGGGTTTCTATTCTGAAAGCAGTTATGCTGGGTGAGCATCTTAGTTCAAGGGGTGGTTTTAACAAACACATTGATTCTCTCACAGTTGAATCTGAATTCAGAACAGTGGATCTGGGGAAAGCTCCTTGTCTCCTTCCAGCATCTGCAGGCCCAGCGTTCCTTGGAGCTCTCCATGTGTCTTGATATTAATCCTTCCCTGGATCTCGGAGCTTCACAGTGCAGGGAGCCCAGGTCCAAAGGATCCACTCCATTTCCACCTCTTCTTTCTTAGGTCTGATAGGTCCCTCTGAGCTCTGGTTCTCTCTCATTTTATCTCTTGTAAGATAAAAGGTATTGCATGCCACACCCCTAGGAATCTCCTGTACATCAGATCAGGGTTGTATGGCATTAAAGGTGATGTATCCTATCCTTTAGAAGGATATCATGTTTGGTAAGGTGGAGGGTCAGAGAAAAAAAGGAAGACCCCCCAGCGAGATGGATTGGCAAAGTGGCAGCATCAATGATCTCAAGCATGGCAACAATTGTGAGGTTGACCCAGGACTGGGCAATTGTTTCATTCTGTTGTGCGTAAGGTAGCTATGAGTCGGAACTGACTCGATGGCACCTAACAACAACAACAATCCTATTCTTAGGAGTCCTGGTGTGGCATTGTGGGTTAATGCGCTGAATTGCAAGGTCTGTTTGAACCACAAGGTTGGCGGTTCAAGTTCACCCACCACTCCTCAATAACCCTATTATACAGGGTCACTATGACTCAGAATCAACTCCATGGCACTTAACAATAATCCCATCCTTGGAGTCCTGGTGTGGCACTGTAGGATAAGCACTGAACTCTTAACCACAAGCTTGGCTGTTTAAACCCACCAGCAACTCTTTGGAAACCCTATACAGGATTGCTATGAGTTGCAACTGACTCGACGGCACTTAACTCCGTCCTTAATCCTTTCATTGGTTTATCACATCAAAACACATCATGGGAGTCAGTGACACAGCCACAGAGGACTAGAGTGGAAAGTGAAGCATCCAGCTGGTAAGAAGATAGGGCTTCTGCACAAGAACATCCACACTTGCAGATAATACCCACTTATCCTGGCTCCAATGACTGGATGATCAGAGCTCAACCAGAAGAAGAAAGAAGAGGAAAAAAAGTGTAATCTGATACAATTTGATGAACTTGACCTACACCTATGGAAGCAGTAGCTCAAAAGAGGGAACAAATCCTTACAACAAGAATCATTCCCACCGCCTCCACACATAGAGTAGACAGGGATGGGCAACTTGGACATTGACTACCCAAAATGGGGGAGGGGGAAGCCTACAAAGGCAAGAAGTGACTGGCTTACAAGCTCTCAAGAGGGAACCTAGATCCAAAGGG